GAGCAAGGACGCTACTAGTAACAAAGGGCATCGCTACTAGGAACAAGAACGCTACTAGGGGCTCCTGGCCTTACTAGCAAGGACGCTACTAGTAACAGGGCATCGCTACTAGGAACAAGAAGCTACTAGTAGCAAGGTGCATCGCTGTCAGCGTTGTGACGCTTAGGTTTGCAAAGTGCACTGTGATCAGCGCACACAGCTCGAGGCGGAGGTGGGAGAGTTCATCACGTTGTCTTTTTGCACCCCTGACTTTTGTGATTGTGAGGCCTATGCTGCTTTCATGGCAGGTGCGACAACAAGCATCTCTCTCAATCTTAATCACTTGCCAATTGCAGGAACATGGCTTGTGGAGCGTGAACATTGGGCAGAGGTCTGGTATCAACTTGTGAAGGTTCAAGCTCCTAGGCGCAAAGGTCTACCAAGGCGTTCTTCGTGTGCAGGCGAAAACAAAGCTGGCCCGTTGCAAAAAGCTATGCGAGCACTTCATTTTGGCAGCTGATCAGGCTGGAGCTTGGTAGAGCGTTGACATCAGGATTTGAGACATTTTGTCGTTCCTTTCTGGAGTGAACACTTAAGACTCTTGGCCTTCACATGCTTCAACCGTGTGCTGTGAGGCCGAAGCTTCAGCCCTTCGAACGCACCTCCAGGATTTCTATTGTCGGCTTTGAGTGTGTTGGATTCCTGGGTGAAGATGTGAACAGTGTTGAGATGTCTTGACCAGCCTTCCGATCTGAATGCTGTTTGGGTTCAGGCCTTGAGTCACCTAGGTTGGGCATTGTGGACAAGATGTGCCATGCCCATGCGTTCTTTTGAACCTCATGCCCCTACAGTGGTAGGCGGAGCAAGGTGATGCCTAGAGCTTTGTCCTTGGCAAGAGCATTGAACTTCAGGAGACCTACAGTTGATGAAGGGTCTGCCGGGTGTGCACCTTCAGATGCTCCCAAAAGGAGCGTGTCGCAGCCGGCCTGGATGGCTTGAACTTGGCAGCCTTCCAGTCCTGCTTCGACTTGGCCTCCCATTAGCTTCCAGGCGGTGAGTAGCACGTCACCGACGAGGCCTTTTGATGAGATAGCCAACCTCCTTCGACCGCTTGACCGACCAGAAATGTCGACAAGAAGTCAAGAGACCACGAGTTCAAGGAACTACGTGATCACGTCGGACCTTTACCAGGGCACAAAAGCATAACGGCAACCTGCCTGAGGCAGAGGATGTAAACATGAAGGATAATAAATGGCCCTCCAGAGTGAACACTTCTACATAGACATGAAGGCCCTCCAGACGCGGCAGTGATGTTTGTGATGATGCAGGCCCGCCCTGAAAGAATTGATCCACTGCCACTGATCCACGTCACCAACTTCTGGCTCTTTGGCTTTGTAGAGCCAACGTCCAGGATTTCTATTGTCTGGCTCATCCAACTTGTGCCCATCTTTGGAGGTCTAAAGAAGCTGCCACGCTCAACTGCTTGCTCAGGTCCGACTACACATTTGAGGGAGGAACTTGAGAAGATGGATGATGGAAAACGCTCATCGCGGAGGAAGATGAAGAAACCTTCCAAGGTCCGCTGTAAGTGGTAGTCTTGGACTGGGAAGGCGTGTTTGACACATCAGCCAATGAGCAGAGCTTGCCACCATCGCTCCAGGTGGCGCTGATTCGAGACTCGATGTCAAAACAAGTTCAAGGATCGTTGGGTGCTGCAGAACGGCAACCCCGCGGATGTGCTGATGAAATTTGCGCAAGCCCATGAGGTCCCGATGCTTGTGCGTCTTGAAGCAAGGCATTGTCAGCTCCAGATTGAAGCTGAAGTGACCAAGTCAAGAGTCAAAACATCATCACATAGAACGAATAGTGGGGCTGATGATGATGTGAGCAGCCTTGAGATGTCCTGACCATGCTGTCTGGCTTCTGACGTGGAGTCACCTAGGTTGCGCATTGTGGGCAAGATGTGCCATGCCCGTCCCATTCCCTTGAAGCTTGCGATTGTCTCTTCAGCTTCCTGCCTCTATATACATGTTTCAACGTTTGGCCCTTTGGCTTGGCTACTATCTTGGAAGGAGCTCGCCCCCATGCTTCGAGAATGCAGGCGGGGGAATTTCACGTCCTTTTTCCAATGCTAAAAGGCGTTGAAAGCGCTTCCAGCAGTGCAACGGTTGCAACTCTTGCGCGTTGAAGAGCCTGTTGCAATCTGCTCAGGTACAACTTGGGAGAGGCTGAGGAAGAGGATGAAGGATTGTCCAAGGCGGAGATTGGACGGTGGCAAGTTGGAATGCCTTTGGTAAGCACGATGCCAATTTCCCTGCAGCACCCGCAAAGGTGACTCAAAGCGGAAAATCGACCAAGGACAGGGCGATGCAGCTCATTAATTTTTTTGCAGTGTTTTGTTGTGGCTTTGGCTTTGGACAATTTAAGATATGGTCAATGCTACCCCATTTGTTTCATACCCATATGCCGAACTGGCATTCTAATCGCAAAAAACAACAAATGACATTTGCAGAGAAAGTAAATTGTAGAGGGGCACACGCAACAGTAGAGGTAATGATTTAAACAAGGACCAGGTATCAAAGCACGCACATAGTTAGATTTTACTGACAATTTTGAGCGAACACACAACCTCTTTTCAACCTCTTTTTTGTGAGTGGTTGTTCGCAAAGCAAAGCAAAGATAAGACATGGAATGGCAACATGATTTTTTCAAGAGAGTTGATAGAAGGAAGCAACGCAAAGATGCCCGGGTTTTTGCTTTGTTTGCGCGGAATCCTGCACATTTGTTTGCAAATGGTCCCATTCGAGCAGATGCCCAGTCACACGAATGAACTCGCGCACAAAAAGGCCAACTCGGGTACCTCGTGTCAAATGCGAGGCATATGAGCCAAGCCTAGCTAAAAGTATTGATGGAACATTTCAAAAGCGCTAGAGGCTTCATCCCGAAGTGAGGCCAACCAGAATGCAACAAAAATAGAACTCTTTCAAAGAAACAATAAGCGCCTATTGATTGATATGACCTACAGGTAGCTTGCAACCACGCTTGTCGGTCGATGGAGTGGGTTGAAGGTTTCTTTGACAATGCACACCACGCAAGGTGGCTCTAGATTCCTGGAGCACTCTTTTGAGGATTCTCTTTGCAGCAAACATGTGGAATGCACGTGTGTCGAAATGGTATTTGACATGTCTTTTTGTTTTCTTCTTTGGGAGGGGCGTTTGCAAATGTCAAATTACTTGCATACACATTGTCACATTGCATAGACACTTGTATATACGGTCAAATTAGGTCTGTGTGCAAACACAAAGACACAACGTTGTAAGTCCATCGGATCTGACCATCGAACGACTCAGGACACGGATGGAGGGATGACCTATCGTGGTCATGCAGTGTCTATCCCTTCGGAGAAGATCAAGGCAAAAGTCAAGCCTATTCCCTGGCTTTCCGCATTGATAGCAAGCTAGATACGTGTTTGCGCTCGCAAGCAATTCCTTGCTGAGGATTTGCTTGGAATCAGCCAAAGCAGTCCAGGTTGGTCTCGCCTTCTTCCATTTCATGTCAGGAGATTTCATCTTTAGTCAGCTTTTTTGTAGCCAGGCGGATGCTGATTCAGAGAACCGGGGTCCAGCTTCGACCGAGAAATATGGTAAAGTCCTTAGATCACTCTTGCAGCTTCTCTTCGCGCTCCCCAGGAATTCCGAACAGGCCATGCCTGTCATTCCAAATACCATCAAGTACCGTGTTCTTGAACTATTGCAGTTATTCCAAGGTGAAATTTCGATCGAATTTGGCGAGGTGCTCAAGGACAGACATGCATGACAACTATTTGGCTTTTGTTCCACCGTGCTTGTGCACCTTATAACCCCATTTGGCATTGCAAAGGACATTCATGGTGAGATGATAGCTGCAGGCGCTGATGCTGACACAGCCGAATGGCGGACTGCTGAGGCCCGCCTTGTTGGGATGATCCACTTCCATTGACTTGTATGCTTCGAGTGTGCATTTCAGGCCTTTATCAGAGAAGCTTCCCTTTGTTTGAGCTGCTCACTTGCACCTGGCAGTATCAAGAGCGGACTTCTCTTCTTGTGCAACGCTGGCACTCCAAGCTGAGGTGTTGAGCGAAACCTGATGCTGCTAAAGCTGCATTCCCGGAGTAAGAGATTTGGTGTGACAAGACTATATTCTTTGTGACAACAGCATCACAACAGATTCAAGCTCCCCGCAAAAGTGCCTCCAAGTGACAGGGTGCCCTTGACAATTGAAGTGCGAGGTCCCATTTGACTAAGCTGGACGACACAGAAGATGTAAACACCATTGACTCCAGACGCTATTGCCGTCCGGAGGAGGCACAGTGATGTTTCTTGAGAGAGTTTCAAGGGACACAAAGCAGAAGAGCTGACTGTCAAAACCTTTTCATTGTGTAAGAACCTTTGACTGTCCACAGTGCACTCAACCAGATATTCGTTCCATCAAAAAGAACGCTGCAAGACTGAGGGAATGCGCTTCTGCGAGCTAATCAAGGAAGATCTGGCAGCCTTGGCACAACTGCCAGAGTCCTCGCCAGACTTAGAGGCTCCTCAGCGTCGAAGAAGCGTTCAAGAGTCGCACAAGTCTACTTGGATGCTTTTGGTTCATTATACTTCGTTCACAATAGGACAGGCTTGCCGTGTACAAGAAGGCGGGCCTTCCACAGCTTTCGTATTTACTGTAGCTTGGCCGAACGTTGCAACTCTTCAGTTGTTCTGGTTGTCTCCGCTGGAAAAGGCAGTTCTTGACTACAGATGCATGTACCTGGCACTTTGTCATACAGCTCTTGGAAAGCTGCTCGAGGCGAGTCAAGTCCACTTGATTGCAGGGAACAAGGAAAACAAACTATGTGGAAAACCTGCTTGAGCAGCAGGTTCCACGCAACGAACTCATAGCTTGTGCACTAAAAAGGTAGTGTTGCTAAGCTATTTGACGTGAATCTAGGAAGATACAGTACCAAAGAACCTTTCAAGAATGAAAGACAGCAGCGATGGTGCTCTAGTCTCCCACCAGTCCCACCAGTGTGATTTATATATATATATACATACACTGTACCGATATGTTTACAAGCTGCAACCACTTGCTTCACTGGGCCTCTTCCCAAGAAAGCCAACGGGTGTTTGCTTTCTGCTCCCCCAACAGCAATTAAATAGCTTGAGGTTTTGGGGCACCAAGCCTCCAATCTGGAGATGTTCCAAGGTTCCGTATCAGGGTTTGGTGGAGGTGCTGGAACCAACAGATTACAGATGAATGTTTCAAACAGTTCCAGATGAAGATTGTGGAAAACGGTTTACCTGGTGACCCACAAACCATTGCTGGTGCAGGGTGGAAGGGAAGCTGCTCTCCTGCGCAGTCAACTCTCTTACGTCCCATCCTGTCAAGTTGATCTGTGCATCATCTGAAGCAAGGTCATCAACTTGTATTTTAATCTTGGGATCTTGCTCAGGGCAGGTGAACGGCACTCAGTACTCTGACCCATGGAGATTGCTCCGGACAGATGGACTGTTTTAATTGCCTGGGAGGCCTACTGCCAAACATCAAAGCTGGCGCCTTGATCCGTACAAGGATGATCCTACAATGTCTATGCTGTTGTCATCTGCGACATTCACGCTCAGATCTTTGGCAGTTTGCCGATGGGATTTGTTTCGTGATTAATCCCTGCGACCTTGTCTTGGGCTGTGTCTGCATTCTGAACATGGTCATGGGAAAGGCAGAAGCAGTGTCTCAAGGGCTACTGCAACATATGACAGATCTCCCCTGCGGGTCTTTGTTGCTGAGAAGCTTCTGCATCAGAGATTTCCGTCTGTGGTCACCATACGCCATAGGCCACCTATTGCTACACCTGTCTGCTGTGCGGTCAATAGCCTTTAGCTTTAGGACTAGGCTGTTGGGTGGCTGCTGCTATGCTACCTGTTTTTGCGAACCCGAGGGTAGTGCTGACTATCTGAGTCTGGAAGTGTTGATGAAGTGACTGCGCCTGGAGCTGTGACACAGTCACGTGGCCCTATGCTCTCAAGAAAGACAAAGCTTTCCTCGGTTCCGAAGGTTCGAAATGGGGGTTGCTAGCAAAGCGTTCCGAGAATAGGTTGCAAGCAAGGGATCTTCCAAAATACACGCGTGATGCTTGGTGCTTGCAAACAAAGGTTCCCACCGATCATTCCAAGTCACCGATCATTCCAAGTCAACATCGTCGCACAAAGGTGCCAAAAAATGGTTAAAGTAAAACCTTGAGTGCACATTCGGAGCAAGTTTTGCCATTAAAAAGGTTCAAGGAAGACTTCAAACAAGACTTTCATTGCAGCCAGCCACTTGCGGTGCAGATTTTTCTTCCGTGTCGGGGCTTTACGTAGTCTTGTTATTTGCAACTTGTTCCATTTTTGTTGACTTGCCTTCTGCCTTCAACAACTGAGGCAGTTGACGCTTCCTACACGAGTTTCCTCATTTGGGGAAAGGGTTGAGTGACCCCAACAACCTGATACTGGTAGGACCCTAACATTAATCAAAGCCTTGGCCAGCGTCATGTGCATTCATTCTTTTGTGCATTGTACATCTGCTCATCGCTATGTCAGGCCGCAGCCCTCCTGGACATGCTAACAGGAAGAATTGAAGAGGTCGAGATGTGTCAATTTGTCTGATCATTAGACCTCATTATACTTCGAGAATGCCATGTTATTTATTCTTGTTCATGTGCACAAAGTCACATTTGACTGCCTTTGGAGGCAGTTGGGAGTGGTGGGCCTGGACACTTGCCTCGTCTTGAAAGTCTTTTTCATCACATACAGCAACAACTGCCGCTGCTCGGCTTGACTTAGTGTTTTGCAGAGGAGAAGCTCACCCTGACCGTTGCTCTCTGTAGAACTATTGTCGTCGCAGTGGTGGTAGCAGTGGTAGTGGGAGCAGGAGCATTAGTAGAAGTGGTAGCAGAAGCAGGAGCAAAAGTAGGAGGAGAGTAAGAGTAGTAGCAGTAGCAGCGGGGGTAGGAGTGACAGTAGCAGTACCAGTGGAGTGGTGGTGGTGGTGGTGGTGGTGGTGGTGGTGGTGGTAACCTGGTAGTGGCGGTGGTCGTGGTGGTCGTTGCTACACCAAAACCATGCAGGCTTCGTGTTGCCCGATGGCATTGCAGAGTATTGGTTTTGTTGGCCAAGGCAAGGGATGCTTTGTTGCAAAGCTGAGAGTCGAGTCGGAAGAGTAGAGTCATTTTATATGTGATTGTGTCCTGATGTGCTCACTTTCCTAATTCCTCGACGTCTCGTTCGAAACTTTTTGCTCCAGTCCAAGAAGACGAAGAAGGATGACGCCGAGGCAATGTTTGCTGCAAGTAGCCTGGATGGGCGCATATGTCCGGCAAGCTAAGGAACCATCCGTTGATGCACCCAAGACTAAACAGGACTGCTGCATGGCACTTGGTGATTTGAGCCCAGAGCTGTCGTCCTGGAGGATTTGCTTGCAACCTTCCCTCCGAAGTTCCTAGATATACCGTGCAAGGCAAGCAGAAACAAGTGCCACGCTAGTAGTAACAGGTGCCTTACTAGTAGTAACAATGTTTGCTATTAGAAACAAGTGCCACGCTAGTAGTAACAAGAGATTGGAAGAACAGATTGTTGGCTATTGAAATATGTATTGATCGGAGGATTGGAGTCATTAGATCGGTAGGTTGTAGGTTTTCTCCTGGCATGTTCTATCCGAAGACAACCCGTTGGGCGAAAGTAGTGTGGAAGGAAGATGAAAGAAGTGAATCAAGGTTTTTGGGTTGTTTGGATGAACCATGGCTAAATAATTACGCATCTACCTGTCACATGTACATGCTTTGGGGGGGCCAAACTGCCCAAGTACTGTGCGTAGTCTGCAGCCTACGTGGACCCTTTGGGGGAGGGTGTACTCTAGCCTTTTGGATATAGCGGGATATTTTTTACTGTGACTCTTGGCTTCTAGCTGGCTCTATCTTTGCTTCTGGCTTCTATTGGCTTTAGCTTTTATGTGGCTTCTGTAGCTTTTGCCTTTCGATGGCTTCGTACAGCTTTTGGCTCAGTGACTCGTGTGGCTTTAGGTTGACGTTTGCTTGCGAGGTGGTTTGGTTTTTGATGGCTTGCTTTTGGTGGTTCTCTTGGTTTCGTGGGATTTTGATGGCTTCCGTTGGCTTTTGGAGGCTTCTTGTAGCTCTTGTTGGCTGCTGGCTTTTGGTAGCTTCTCTTGGCTTTTATTGGCTACTGTTGACTGGCTTCCAGTGGATTCTTAAAACCCTTCCCCCAATTCCCCTTTTGCACCACGAAATCTGCAGCCTCTCCGGAATCCTGCCTGCCATGAAATCTGACCTTTAAGAGTGGCACCCCTGCACCAGCTTTTGTATTTTTCTTTTCTTTCACCCAGGCCTCCGAAATCATCTCGGCAATCTTCCAAACACTTCTTTGCAGCACACGCTTTCCTTTGCTCTGTTCCAGGAGCAGGGGGCACTACCGGGAACCTCCCTACTCCCCTTCCAGAAAATCAGAATATCCCGCCAAATATGAAAAAGAATCTCGCGAAATGCTCAGGCCCACCCTAGGCTTTTGTGCAAACAGAACTTGTCCTGACCCCAAAGAATTCAGACGAACCTTTTCAGCAAAAGCAGTATATAATTCGTGTTGGAAAACACACCGGAAGGATCCCGAAGGTCTTGTTTCTAGCGACAAAGCAAGCGCAGCTCTGCTGGATGACAATGCGTGACAATGGTAAGCTCGCTTTTCCTCCATAAGGTTTGCTCGAATCTTGGGCACTAAAAGTGCGTTTCCAGTATTAACGTATTATCTCAGTGTCCCCAGCATGAGTGTCACCAGAGATAAGTTTCGTCTTATTGTCAAGATCACCGATGAGAAAGTCTTTGGTTCTTGAGACGACCGTGCGTTAATTTGATCAAGCAACTTGAGTCTTCATGCTCCACGCAAATCATTGAGCACAGAGCTGGCATCTAGATCGAAAGAATAAAGGAACAGTACTGTATCAACAAAAACACAGGATCAACAACACAATAAGAACAGGATCAAAACACATCATCCTGAGTAGGTTCGCTGGTCCTTTGGTAGCCCTGCCTTTGGTCCCCTGGTCCCTTTCCTGGCCCGCTGGGTGGTCCATTGGTCAAAACCACGAGGCTTGCGAAAACAAAACGCTGCCCGATTGCCTTGGTCCTTGCGTCACTTTCTGAGTGCCCTTCATTGATGAGGCACTGGAGTGTGTAGTTTTTGATGATGATGATGATGATGATGATGATGATGTATTTTGTGGTGCCTTTTGAGTCTGATGGCTTTTGATGCTTTGTTCGCTCTGGGGAAGCGCAGCCCCTCCCCCCAACCCCCCTCCAGCGCCACGAAATCTGCATTATTTTGCCAATGCGCTGCGCCTACCACGACAGATTTTCTAAAGGTCACCAGGCACCCATCGCACACTCACGCAAAATATTGCGCGCGCTCGCCCAAGTCTTTTTGACTTTGTGTTGCAAGCACTGTTTCATTGTCCTGTGGTGGGTGAGCCCTTGTTTGATGATCAATAGGATGTGCAGTTTTTGATGATGATGCTGATGCTGATGCTGATGCTGATGCTGATGCTGATGCTGATGCTGCTGCTGATGATGATGATGATGATGATGATGTACTTTGTGGTGCCTTGAGAGTCTGGTGGCTTTTGTAGTTTGCCACCCCCCTCCAGCGCCACGAAGCTTGCATTTTTTCCCAATGCACTGGGCCTGCCACGACCGACTTGTTAAACGTCATCCATCGCATATCCACACAAACAAACAACTACATTCAGCTGCAAGTGCCAGATGACAGTGGGCAACCACAAACACAGAATCACAAACACAGCCGCCAAGTATTGCACGCTCTAGCATAAGTTTTTTGGTTATGTGTTGCACACATCCTTTCATGGTCCTCGCCCGCCCTGCTGCTGTTGTCCTTTCCCTAGTCTTTTTTTTCTTTCACTCTTCACTGGATCTTTTTTATTATCATTTTTTGCTGATCCCCGTCAATTTTTTTTTAAAATTGATTGTGTTTTTTGATCCCTGACCCAGAGCTTGTGATCTGAATCCGATGGTTTGTGGTTTTGAGTTCTTGGGCTGGAATTGTAGAGCTTCCCTGCTCGGCTCATCAAAACATTTCGCACAATCACAGTGGTTGGGTGTTTTGATTGTGCCAAATTTTGCGTTCGTGTGCCAAAATATTTGTTTGCTTAGCTACGCTGAACCCTTTGACCATATATATATATATCATATATCTATCTATCCATCGGTCGGTCCATCTATCTATCTATTTTTCTATCTATCTATCTATCTAACTATCTATCTATCTATCCATCTATCTACCTATCTATCTATCTATCTATCTTTCATAGGATTCCGCACGTATGGCATTTGATGATTGTTTGCCCACTCGGCTAGAAGGTTTTGAGAATTCTCATTCGTTTGTAGAATACACTGATCACACTTACATTGCGAGCCAAGTGCTCAAGTTTATAAGTTCGAAAGGATCTGTTCGTTTGACTTTCCAGACCCTGAGTAATCCTAAATTGGCTTTGCAATCCCAAGTTGGCTGATCTTTAATCGACTCATTGTTGGCGATATGTCTCTGTACATGTTGCATGCCGCTTCGACTGCCTGCAGCCCCTGCTTTTTGACCTGGCCTTTCCCTGCATAGAGTCGAAAGCTCTGATGTGCGAGTACTTGCTGTCCTGTTGTTTAACTGCAGAATGGCATGTGTGAGAGGGCGGGTACTTGCATTGGCAGCATTGGTTTCTACTTTTTCCAAATCTAAGGCCACCAGACTTGGACGAGATCCTCCCGAAAAAGCAAGAAGGCGCAAAGACGGGGGATCTGTGTTTGAAGGATTTTGAAGGTTTCAAGTTGCAAAGAGCAAATTGTGAAATGACGAAGCAATTTTTGATTGACTAAAAGGAAGGTAAGGCACCCCTTTGGACGGGGACCTTGTCTTCTTCCTTCTTATCAAACAAACAAGCATATATATATATACACACACTTTATAGATATATACAGTTACAGTTACATCATATCTATACTATTACATATTCCATACTTAATTAATTTTTTTCATCTTTTAGACTTACTTTTCGATCTTTTTAGTTGGAAATTGCTGGCGGTGACACAGGTAAAGGTCGACAAGCTGTGGCGGCAGTTGCGGGAGCTTTGGGCTTTGGGCTCAGATGACTTCTCGTTGGACTCCTTGAAAACATGTTTGACGACGGGAGATAGGAGGACTTGAGTATAACGCACAGTATATTCCCAAGGTGGACTTGGCAGCCGCTTGGGCGGATGGATGGGTAGAAAGCCGGAATCTGAGAGACTTCACTCTGCTTCACACGAGGACTCTGGGATTGACAGTTATATTCATTCGTAACTTGATTCAGGTAAATGGTGGTGAGTCTGGAGCGATGAGCACAAATAGACATGAACCTCACCCGAGTTGTGCTACTTTCGCAGATTTGACATTAGCAAAGAGTTTGTGGCCATTTGGAAACTGTTTTCATTGCTTGATTCCTGCTTCGAGTGTTCAAGGCTACATTTCATTGAATTATCCCTTTGCTTTGTTAACATTTCAGTACACTTTGAGTTCTGTAGCCTTATGTTCTTTTATATAACTGTTTCTTGTTTTTGTCGAAACGAACAACCAGCAAGAGAACATTATGTTTTTTTTCTCCCTCTTCAAGTGTCCAACACCTGAGACAAAAGCGAGTGGTTACCGGTTGCTTCGTCGTGCGGCCTCCATCGCCCTGTCAGCCCTCCATGGCGATTGCCTCGAGAGCTTATGCCTTTTCGAGCGCTTTGTTTGCACTTGTTACTACTAGCGATGCACTTGTTACTACTAGCGATGCACCTGTTACTAGTTGCTTCCTAGTAACTTGTTTGGGAAAGTATGCATTTCCAATGCTTGCATATTGTGTCCGGCTAGGCAGGTGATACGGTAGGCGCTTATGCAGTAGATCGTCTTCTCGGTCGCGGGGCCTACGGGGAGGTGCAGTGTAGAGAGTTTTCTCAGTCATTTGCCAAAGTCTGTTTTGCAAAGAACGACACTTTCCCATGTGCTTTGAAGAAGCTTTCGGACGTCAATGCCTATTGATTCCCAAGACATGTGTTCTCGAACGCATTCCAGACCCCTACAAAAAGCAGTGGTGATACAGGGGTGATGCTTGTTTACCTTGACATTGATTTTCACACTTTGTTCCTATCGCGCTTTGGAGGTGTTCCTGGTGCATGGACAGGTGCAGTATGCAATGAAGGTACTTGTCCAAGAAGCAAAGACCCTGCATCGATGTTTGAATTACATTCAGAAGTTGGATCAGTCATGCTTTGCATTGCCTGCAGTGCACATCATTGTTTTTGATGAAGCGACCTTGTGGGCTTCCTATGGTTAAGTTTCCCTAAAAATCTAGGAACCAAATCATTAGCGCGAGCTATCATGCTTCCAGTCGGCAGTAGCTTACTTGCAAGTGGCAGCTACCTCTTCTACTAGCTACCTACCTAGCTACTACCTCTACGGCCTGCCCCCACCGGCCAAAAAAAGAACGGTTTGGTAGCTTGAGGTGTTGGACAGCCTTTTGTAGCAAGAACCGGAGCTATTGCTGGCTTCCCGAGTGTTCGCCTTGTGAGAAACCAGCAAGCCGTCTAGCCAAAAAGCAGAAGACGCAGCGCAAACCAAACAATCCAAGCCAAACACGCGTGATTTTTGCGAGTGAACTCAAACCTGATCCCTGAAGACTGTCAGAGAAAGCGTTTCTTTTAAAGCAACTGAAGCCTTCGTATGTCGCACATACGGGCCATTTCATGAGTTCAAATGATAGGACACATCCCACTGCAGAAACCCCCACCTGGAAGCATGCTTCAAACGATCTGATTGGACACAACCCAGTGCTCCCTTCAAAGCGCTCACCTAGTTCGATGATTCGATGATAGATGCAGCAATTTCTTCCGAATTCGACACATCTCTTCTCAACGCCCTATTGGGACACGTCTGAATTTGCAGCCAGTTTTGAAGCTTCTAGGTTGGAGGCCATCGCTATTAGGATGGAGGCCATTGCCTCTAGTTTTGAAGCAGGGCTCTCTAGAAGTCGCTGCTTGAACCCAACACCGCTTTTTGTGAAACCAACAAATGCCTCAAGTTGCGGGAACCAGGCTCACTGTGGAGTCAAATAAGTTAAACAAGTTCACGGCGCTGTCGCCGCCTGTGCAAGGGTTGTTCATGTTGTTTGACCCGTCGCATGACAGTTTGTAACCCTCGCAGGGTTTTGAAGGTTTCAATGGATCTGCACACCCTTATTTTCATTGAACTTTACAGACAGTAATCCGGTGTTGATTTGTGTTTACCGCCACAGCGAGAATCAAGTTTTTTGTTCGTTTACGTGACCTGTACTTTTTCGGAGACACTGCGGTTGGTGCAGCCACAGCATCCAGCACCAAGTGTGGGTGATCCATGGTCCAAAAATAACTCGAAGTCCAAAAAGCCATGTGAATCTAGTGCTATGTGCAAAGACAAAGCAACACACACACACGTCAGTCCATCAGCGAGTGCCTAGATCCAACAAGTCGTCCAAGTAGCGGGCTCACAAACAAAGAAACCAAACAAAGGACCGGGCCATGAAAAACAAAGTCAAATCCTGACAAACGAATTAACAACACGTAACATAATCAAAGCAAACCACGCAAAGTCAACCTGCGCATGCTTGAACCCCAAAACTCGGTTTGAATGGTGTTATGTCCCTCAGGTAGCCCCAAACACAAAAAGATGAAACAGCAGAAACAACAATTCGGTACATATGAACAAACACATCAACATCGTTCATTATTGTCACCCCCGCCCCCCCCACCCCCCCAAGGCCCCCCCACCCCCAAAAATCAGTTCTCGGGCGGCGAGGACGCCGAGAATCTAAAACAACCAATGCCTTTCAGCCTTTCAAAGGCTATTCACAAAGTAGAAAGCTTACATAAGTTTATTTTGCAGGGGTCTGCACTCAAGTCCGCTCACTGTCACTTCAAAGCTTTTGACCAAGGTGATTCCATGCGACCTGGGGCCAAAGCAGGCGCATCGCATTGCAAAGTAGGATAGAAATCAGGCACGTCGGCGTTTCGCGGATGGAAGGATCCTGGTTTGGACTGCCCTCGCGCTGACCCAACTCTCCAGGCGACAGGGATTCTCAAACTACATCAGTAGACCTCTACGGACTCTACGGCATGCATTTTTGCAGGCAGCTTTGGTTGAGGCCAGCTTGCTGCAGGCTGCAGCCGCTGCTTGTAAACATGTGATCAACTCGCGATTGGAGTGTCTGATTTCAGGGCTGAAGCCTTATACTCCTAATGAATGATCGGCCCTGATCGGAACTTCAGGAGTTGCGATACCCCCACATCGTTTGCGAGCTTGGAGAACTTTCGCGACAAAAGCACCGAGCACCGCAGCAAACATGCCTCAGGTCAGGTGTGAGGAAGTTCTTTTCGACATTGCCCGAGAAACTTTGTGCTTGGTGCTGCGGCCTCGAATCGAAGGGAACCAAACGGTGGCAGTTCGTTGCAACCTGTGCCAATCGCCGAGGCTGGAATACATGGATGGTGGGGACCTTCGTGGCCTTATCGAGCAGCGACGCAGAGAGGTGGCAGTCGGGACGAACATCAAGAATGGTGAACCGCATCCTTTAGCATCAATCGCGAATCCGCCAGTTGTAACTCGAATGCCTCTCAAAGACACTTTTTGTATATCTGGATATGATACTGAGTCGAAGATACGTAGTCCCAAACTGCAACAACACAACTGCAAATCTGCCACATGACATGTACTATACTGTAAGTCCATCTCTGGGCTTGTCACACTGAAAATTGAGGTCCAGACACACTCGGTTTTGCTGCCCTTTGTTTGTTCGAAAGGGGACATCCTGAAAATGCAATTTCGAAAGGCTTTAAGATCGCCTGCAAAATAGAAGTCAATTCTGAGGGCGAACATGTTACGTTTTAGATTGAGGGAGATTTTGATCCAGATGCTTTTAATGAATTCTTCTGGATCAAGTGGTTGGTCTAGAGTGCCGTGCTCACATTGCAGAATGGGTGCTTTGATGCGCACTTTCCTCGAAGAGTACTCACAGCTGTGGGATGTGCACTCCAGTCGGGGCGCTTGATTTATGAGGTATGGGGACAACGCCAGCTTGGATGCACTCCCTTTAGCTTGTTGGAGATGCCGCAACATTTTCACTTTGATTTATATATACTTACACACGTATTATTAGGTATATTCGTCATGTCGTGTAATTTTTGAGAGTTGTCGCGACTACAATTTTGGCAGTCTTTGAAGTTGGAGCTTGCCACAGAGCTTAAGGCCCAAAGCGCCAAGCTTTTTCATATTCACGGGCTGCTTGAGGTACATTCACAATGTTGGCATCCTCCATCGGGATGTACTACCCCTGGTGCGATCAATTTGTACGTTACGGTTCAAGCCTTGCAGCTGCTTGAGGTGAAGCCAGCAAATATTTTGCTCTCAAGGACTGCACTCTTCAGCTCAAACTATGGTAGGGCGGAAATCTCAGAACCAATTTTCGGACTTCAAGGAGATCTGGCCGTATCAAATTGGCAGACTTCGGAATTGCAAAGCTTGTGGAAGCAGCCACGCTCAAAGCACACACGCTTGTTGGCACGCCAGAGACCCAATTCTTTCAGGCTTGCATGACGCATCAATGGACAGTTTACAGTTTCGTTTTCTCGAGTGGACAAGCGGAGAGCATGTGGGTAACCTCTGAGCTTGCAATCACTCGGGACCAATGTGTCCAAATTTCCAAATTGTATCATTTGCTCACCCTGATGCACCCCTACAGTGACGCCTCGCTGTCCAAACAGCGCGACACCCACGAGATGCCAATAGATTCGCTTGAAAACTTGCAGCCGTGGGTGATAGTCGTGGCTTGCCACAGTCCATGAAGGATGCAGACCCACGCAACCAAAAGCGACACGCCAACGCTGGTTTGTGTTCACTGCACCCGTTGTAGTCCGTTCAGGAGATGCAAACAAATGCATGGTTGCAAGAATGCGGATCACCATGTTAAGCATACTTAGCACTTTGCCCTACTTCAACAGCAGCTGTCAGTCCGTAGTGTTTGCACTATTGATATGCAGCTTCAGTCCCATCGCCCCAGCGATGTTTCATCACTTATAGTTGCAGCAACTCCTGCGGATCCAGGCCATACTACTTTTCACCTGAGCTAGTGTCAGGAGAAGAGTCAGGGTCCCATCAACTTCTTTGCTTCGCTTGTATAATGTTTTCAACTTGAAAGGCCACAGATCTCATGCATTAAGGTACGGTGCTCCAGCAGATTGCTGGGCTTTGGGCTGGAGACTGTGAGAAAGCATTCTTTCCCTTCTATATATTCAGCACCGTTTCTCTCTACTCGCACTGCGGGCTTTTTGCATACTTAAGGTGCGGTTCTCTATGAAGTGGTGGCATTGCGAAGACCTTTTGAGGTCCGGAGGTGAGTGCAAAAGTCTTAGCTTTTCCTCTAATTTGTTTTGCACATGGGGCCATGAGTCACCTGCGTTAAGTTCTTCCTGAAAAAGTTGCCTCGGATCAACACAATCAATTTGAATGTTTCCTCAAAAACAGAGTCTCCATGTTCGGAAGGTCTAGAGTAGGCTGACTTCGATGTCGAGGTTTTGCCGATGTTGGTGTTCCCTGTATGACAGTTCATTGGCTGCATTTAGTCCTTTGGGTGTTAACTCCCGAAAGCATTAGGTCTGTTGGCTGCTGATTTAGACGCCCCAGGATTGGCAGGTCATAAGCACCCAAACATGGGAAGTTGTCTTGGCCTGCACTTGCACGACTTGCATGCTTCTGCACCTCTTCTGTCTACCAGTGCGTAACCCTGCGCATCAATATTTTTGAACGTTACGCAGAGGATACTTCTTCAAGCAGATGCTATTTGAGAGTGTTGGGCCGATGACTTGACTTTGATTGTTAATGACCACTGTAAGCCATTTTCCCTTAGGCAGATAGATCCAACTCAGATTGTGGCCAGGCAATTAGAAAAGATTGGAATCCTCCTTTTGTGTTTTGCTTCCATAACTAGGTTTTGAACACGTATTGTAGCAGAGCATAGGTAAGCTGAAACAAGCACTTGTCAGCTCTAGCCAAACTCTAGCTAGTTGTAGAGCCAGATTCTTTACCATGTAATTGCATGAATTTCATGCCAGGCCAGCAACCAGCTTGCGCTTGTACGCAAAATCTGTGAGGAGAGCTTGTACGGAGTTGTGGGTTGAGATACAAGAAGGGAAAGAGTTTCACTATGCTTTGCTACACACATTTCGCCATAGAAAACGATGTGTCACACAGGCTCGAAGGCTTCAGAAAAAGGTCACAAACCCAAGCCATGGCGGCATATGCGCCGTCTGACCTTCGGACGCGACGTTCTTTGGCGAGAGCTGTTGGTGAAATGTGTTGCAAGCAACAAAGGTGTAAAATACAAATAACATAAGACATCCAAGCACTAGAGTCTACGGCGACAGTTTTCTGAAGATTTGTCTTTGAGGTTCAAACTTTGGTGCCTCTGGCTGGAGCTCGGAGAACACCTTCGATGAAAAGCCAGACCGGCACGACAGCATGCCGCTGTGGAAGCTACCCCGACACCTGCAGGCGTGCCACTGACCCAAACTAATTCATGAGAGCGGTTTACTTGATCACACAGAGTGGGTTCAAATCGTTCAAACTGTTCAAATCCTAGGTCATGCTGATAGACTGATACTGCTCTAGCCTCTTTGTTGGGCAGGTTACATTTGTGCTACTCTTTGTCACGGCCATGTTTCTGCATGCTGACCAAAACCTTGCGGCACCAAATCTATCAGCAATTGCAAATGACTTTCAGATGACGCCCATGCAGAAGGAGTGGGAGAGATCAGAGAAAACACACATCTGATATATATATATATATATATGTAGATTCTGCAAGTTTCAATCAGTTGCAAGGACTCACGTCTTGGTGGTCTTGTTCAGTTTGGCTTCTTCCTCGTGGGCGGTTCCTCACCTGGAAGATATAAACAGCCTTGTTAGGGGGTCTTTGCAGCAAACTTTCAAAAAGGGATGCAAAGGGTAAACAAGCTCGCACTTGCTTCCTTTACGTCAATGCCTTGGGCACATCCCATTTACGTTGAAGCCATTCCTTTACACCTCGAATGATTGCCCGTTTGTCCCCTAGCAGTACAATGGAGATTGGCAATGGCACTGCAAACCCATCCCAAAGCCACAGCTGAAGCACTGTTAGTGGCCTAAACTAGAAAGAACATGTGACCTACACGACGAACACGACCAATCACCAAGGTGATGGCTCAACCCTCAAGTATTGTAAACGGTTTGGTCAACCGTGATCCAATTCATGACACATTGGTGAGCCTTTGTGCTTAGGCTGAATCAGCTACTGTACATGTGTCCCTTGCTACGTAAATCACAGGGGTAGATGGTCTGTGCTTTCGAGTGATCACAAAGTTTGGACCGTTCAACACATTAGAATGAGATGGAGGCATCAATTGAAACAAGTCTTCCTGCTCGGCCCAAAGCATCAAGAACTCGATGGTCCTAAGCCTTAGATGTTGGTAAGGAAATCAAGGCTTGCATGCATCTGAGTATTTGGCTTCTGGCCAAACAACGAGGTTTTGGTGCCTGACACGCAGTATTGGCTTTGATGTGCTCCCACAAGACACTTTTGTCGTAAAGATGTAAGCTGTAAACAAGTCTACTTGGACTATTACTCTCTCATTGATGTGGTTTTCAACGCGTTTGCCGGAAAGCTTTCCCAGCAAAACACAGACCTTCTGAAGCGGTTTAAGTCAAAGTCAAAGTCAGGGAATTGACAAGCACAGGGAGTTTACAAGTACGGTCAACATGGTGAAAACCCGCTTTTGAAGGTGCGGTATCTGTGCTGGTCGGCCCAGCAGCAGATCAATTTGATCGGATTTCGGTGCTTTGTGGAGTTGTTCTTTGTGGCGCACTGCCCTCTTTGCTCATGAGTCTCATGGTCCCATCTTCAAAGGCCGGCGGAAGCGTCCTTGTTACTACTAGTAAGGCACTTGTTACTAGTAGCGATGCACTTGTTCCTAGTAGTAAGGCCAGGAGCCCCGAGTAAGTAGCATCCTTGCTTCTAGTAGCAAAGTGCCTTACTACTAGAATTGTTGTTCACTTGACATTTCAGACATAGTTTTCACATCCAGGCAGGATTCTTCTACTTCTTCATGGCAAGGATTTGTACGGGGGTGGGTGGCCTAGAATCTAAGATTTTGTAAATTGTTTTGATGTGCAAGAAAGTCATTGGTGGATGCATTAGGTGGCAATTGGAGGCTCCTTTCCAGAACCTCAGACAGCACTAGCAACACGAGACATGCTCATACCCTGAAGCTGGACTTGGATTCACATATGGCTGACGCCTTTTATTGGACAACAAGGTCCTTTTTGCATTTTCTGCCGATGTTTTCCCTCCTTCGCAACGGACGTTGATTTCTGGAGCCTTGAACGCTGCTGGAAATATTGGAGCTGCTCTTGGCGGTCTCATGTGTCTCAATTGCACATACAAGAGGTGCTTTTTGAAATACGAGATTATAAGTAATATAAGGCCCCTTTAAAGCCCTGCCTCCTTCTTTTTCCATATCTTTTTACCTTCAAAGAAGCATTCTACGAAGACGGTAGTGGTCAAAAAACGATGTCTCTGAGCATTTCCATTTCTTGAGGTCTGGTGTCATTGGACCAACTTACGGCTCCTAGTCTGAAGGTGCTGAGGCTGGAGGTCTCCAAAATGCTTAGCTTCAAGCTAACGGGCCAATTTTGTTTTCGCTCTAAAGCACCCACAGAAGAGCGACAGCTACGCGAGATTTCTCGCCAATCGAGGCTCATCTCAGAGGATTTGCTAGGAAAACGCAGCAAATTGAAGTTATCCCAGTTCCCCCAAATCTAGGAACTGAATGAATAGTGCGAGCGTTTCTTCAAAGAAGCTCCCGCCGCCTTTAGGGCGGAGGGGGTACTTCCTTGAAGAAGCGTGAGCTATCTTGTGTCCAGTTACTAGAAGCTTTAGCAACTAGGAGCTTATTCCTTTACTTAATTAAGTAGGCGCCTACTTAATTATGTAAGGGCGGGCTAAAGAAAAAGAGAAACAAAAGACAAAAAAAGAGAACAGCACAATGCTTTGCTTCTCAGGCTGGAGACTTCCCTTCACAATCATTGCCATACCGACATTGGTTTGCGCCGCTCTGGTACGCCTTTGTCTATCTGATCCCCGCACACAACAAAAGGCGCTTTCTTTTCATCAGACACTGGAATCTCGAAGCTCCCTTGCCCAGTGCTTCTTTGGAAAAGAGCATTTGTTAAAACAATTCAATCGAATTCGACCTCTCCGCTTCGCTTCAATCCCAAAACTGTTGATGCTTTGGGGGAGATGGTAGATCCTACAGATCCTAGGTCGTAGGACTTAAAGAGTCTGTGGTTTTTGGACAGCTTTGTTCACTTGCAAGTATTTGGTTCATTTCTTCTAGTTAATCTTCCACTTGAACCACCTACGACTTTTTGTGCATTCATGTCTGTTCCGACTTGGACACGCTCGCCCGGAAGGTTTTTGTGTTGAAGGAATGAGGTGCTTGATAGCTTCCGGAGCGCATTGAATACATTAGAGTAGTCTCCTATGTCTCATACAGTGTTTCGGCCTTCGACGGGGACATAGTACAAAGTAAACTTAGTAAACAAGCATTCTGCCCAAACTCAACAATTCAAACAACATCGTTCTGCACTTGCGCTCTGTTTCTCTCTCTCTCTCTCTCCCTGTCTGGCCCGTTTCAGATGATAATTACTGGAAGCCAAACCAAAAATACCCAACGATGGCTAATGGAGGTTTGCTGCCCAAAACAAAGGCATGGGCCTACTCAGTATCTTTCCAAGTGCAAGTTTTTCACCCCGCTCGAGTCACGCTTGGGCAAAAGCTCAATGTCTCTTTACGGAGACATAGCAAACCTGGAACATAATGCCCTTCGAGAGTTCCAGAACGGGTTTCGGAGCATGCTTTGGGGCAAGGATCTGAAGGGCCGTAAACAAGGTTCAGGAGCTTGCTGTTCCAGGGAGCTTGGGAGGAGGTTGAGGTTCCACAGCTTAGTCTGGCCATCCTGATATGGAGGCAGGGGAGGTGCTGTGAAATCCTGGTGCCACCGTCCCAGCATGGCCTTAAGTCTGATACCGCCAACCACAAACACTTTATTGTTCGGATGCTTTTTGTGTTTTTGTTTTTGTGTTTTTGTTTTTTGCTTGCGAAGCTCAAGATGCTAAAGCTGGGGCCCTTCGTCCCAAGACCCCTTGGCATTAATGTTTTGGCCTCCATAGAGGCGAAAGCGAAGCGTGAAGAGCCAGTGATGAACGAGGAGCTTTTCTTTTCTTGTCTTCCTTTCACTTCGTTTTCTGCACGCGAAGAAGTCAAGCATACCAGGGCACAGCGAGCCTGCATTTGGGTGTTTGGAGGCCTTCTCGGCTTGGATGGGAGGTTCTGAAATTAGAGGGGAAGGCCTCAGCATGGAAGACCTGGTCTGATCCTGAACTTCTTGGAAAGGTGAGAGATGTCGTTCTAGTCTTGCTCTTTGCGACTAAGGATTTGACGAAGTTTCAGAAAGTCTTTGCAGTAAAGTCGAATGTCTTGGTATTTGCGCAGGTGCCGAGAGTTTGGTCTGTGACACATGCTGTTCAAGTTTCTGACACACCTTTGTTGGAGGCCCTTCCTGGCTGCATACCTATTTCGGTGATCGTAACATTCTTGGCCGACTACTTGGCAACAGATCAGGGCATGGCCGTGGAGGTGCGGTTGAAAGTTTGAATATGCTTTATATGAGCCATGCCAGCCATGCCTCAGATTTACTATGCTTCCCCCTCAAAAGACCGATATTGTCAGACACTTGTCTCAGACATTGATATTTTCAAAGTCAACCACGTATTGATGCGGAGGCATCAACTGCAATCACGGCCATCTTTGGGATGAGCTGCCTTTGCTTTGGTGTCACTGGTGGCTTTCTTGGACAAAGATTATGGAACCTCAGGAAAGCCGCTGATTGATGGGAAGATATGGGAAGCGTTCTGAGCCCTCGCTTTGCCTGAGCATGTTTGCCACAAAATGCCTATCGACTGTTTGCAGGCAAAAGAACATGAAATATTTCTGCATGCTGACTGCAAGTGGCATGCTTGTTGCTCAACTTTGTCAGAGCAGCTGCATGTGAAAGCTAGCAAGCAGAGGAAGCAAGAGCGATGTGCATTTGGAATTGTGACAAAGCCATAATCTAGCTTCGCAAATGCTCAACTTAGAAGCACTCATCACTCAGCCCAGGTTGCACCATTGCCGTTTATGCTTCTGGTGAATTCCTCGCAGGATAGGACTTGCAATCTCTTGAAGAGGTTGATTCCGACTTCTTGCATTGGAATGACAAGAGAATTGCAACGCCAACAGCATTACAGAAAACGTTCCGGTTCGATTTTGCTCACACTGCAGGCCTTGATCACAACACCAGCTGGGCGCCCGACAATGTTTGCTTTTTTTCTTGCACTCTGTGGTGGCTCTGCTGCTCTAGCAGGCCATC